AAAGGTGCGAAGTCTGGAAATACAGTTCCGTGCGCCTCACAAGAGGCGGAAGGTGATCGTGGTAGGCCATTACTTCATTTAAAACACGGGCCGATTCAGAGGCCAGTCCCCTTCAAGATGGACGTCCACATGATGTGTCCACTCCCACCAGAGGCGAAGTGGACAAGCCAGTGGTTTGACTGAAATGTATCCTTTATCTGATCAAATGTGTCCTTTATCTGAACAAAGTATGATGGAATTGTATCCTTTATCTGATCAAAGTATGATGGAAATGTATCCTTTATTTGATCAAACTATGATTGAAATGTATCTTTTATCTGATCAAAGTATGATTGAAATGTACCCTTTATCTGATCAAATGTATCCTTTATCTGATCAAAGTATTGTTGAAATGTATCCTTTATCTGAACAAAGTATGATTGAAATATATCTATTATCTGATCAAAGTATGATGGAAATGTATCCTTTATTTGATCAAAGTATTATTGAAATGTATCCTTTATCTGATCAAATGTATCCTTTATCTGATCAAAGTATTGTTGAAATGGATCCTTTATCTTATCAAAGTATTGTTGAAATGCATCCTTTATCTGATCAAATGTATCCTTTATCTGATCAAAGTATTGTTGAAATGTATCCTTTATTTAATCAAAGTATGATTGAAATGTATCCTTTATCTGAACAAAGTATGATTGAATTATATCTATTATCTGATCAAAGTTTGATGGAAATGTATCCTTTATCTGATCAAATGTATCCTTTATATTATCAAAGTATTGTTGAAATGCATCCTTTATCTGATCAAATGTATCCTTTATCTGATCAAAGTATGGTTGAAATGTATCCTTTATCTGATCAAAGTATGATTGAAATGTATCCTTTATTTGATCAAAGTATGGTTGAAATGTATCCTTTATCTGATCAAAGTATGATTGAAATGTATCCTTTATTTGATCAAAGTATGATTGAAATGTATCCTTTATTTGATCAAAGTATGATGGAAATGTATCCTTTATCTGATCAAATGTATCCTTTATCTGATCAAAGTATGGTTGAAATGTATCCTTTATCTGATCAAAGTATGGTTGAAATGTATCCTTTATCTGATCAAAGTATGATGGAAATGTATCCTATATTTGATCAAAGTATGATTCAAATGTATCCTTTATCTGATCAAATGTATCCTTTATCTGATCAAATGTATCCTTTATCAAAGTATTGTTGAAATGTATCCTTTATTTGATCAAAGTATGATAGAAATGTATCCTATATTTGATCAAAGTATGATTGAAATGTATCCTTTATCTGATCAAATGTATCCTTTATTTATCAAAGTATTGTTGAAATGTATCCTTTATTTGATCAAACTATGATTGAAATGTATCTTTTATCTGATCAAAGTATGATTGAAATGTACCCTTTATCTGATCAAATGTATCCTTTATCTGATCAAAGTATTGTTGAAATGTATCCTTTATCTGAACAAAGTATGATTGAAATATATCTATTATCTGATCAAAGTATGATGGAAATGTATCCTTTATTTGATCAAAGTATTATTGAAATGTATCCTTTATCTGATCAAATGTATCCTTTATCTGATCAAAGTATTGTTGAAATGGATCCTTTATCTTATCAAAGTATTGTTGAAATGCATCCTTTATCTGATCAAATGTATCCTTTATCTGATCAAAGTATTGTTGAAATGTATCCTTTATTTAATCAAAGTATGATTGAAATGTATCCTTTATCTGAACAAAGTATGATTGAATTATATCTATTATCTGATCAAAGTTTGATGGAAATGTATCCTTTATCTGATCAAATGTATCCTTTATATTATCAAAGTATTGTTGAAATGCATCCTTTATCTGATCAAATGTATCCTTTATCTGATCAAAGTATGGTTGAAATGTATCCTTTATCTGATCAAAGTATGATTGAAATGTATCCTTTATTTGATCAAAGTATGGTTGAAATGTATCCTTTATCTGATCAAAGTATGATTGAAATGTATCCTTTATTTGATCAAAGTATGATTGAAATGTATCCTTTATTTGATCAAAGTATGATGGAAATGTATCCTTTATCTGATCAAATGTATCCTTTATCTGATCAAAGTATGGTTGAAATGTATCCTTTATCTGATCAAAGTATGGTTGAAATGTATCCTTTATCTGATCAAAGTATGATGGAAATGTATCCTATATTTGATCAAAGTATGATTCAAATGTATCCTTTATCTGATCAAATGTATCCTTTATCTGATCAAATGTATCCTTTATCAAAGTATTGTTGAAATGTATCCTTTATTTGATCAAAGTATGATTGAAATGTATCCTTTATTTGATCAAAGTATGATTGAAATGTATCCTTTATTTGATCAAAGTATGATGGAAATGTATCCTTTATCTGATCAAATGTATCCTTTATCTGATCAAAGTATGGTTGAAATGTATCCTTTATCTGATCAAAGTATGGTTGAAATGTATCCTTTATCTGATCAAAGTATGATGGAAATGTATCCTATATTTGATCAAAGTATGATTCAAATGTATCCTTTATCTGATCAAATGTATCCTTTATCTGATCAAATGTATCCTTTATCAAAGTATTGTTGAAATGTATCCTTTATTTGATCAAAGTATGATAGAAATGTATCCTATATTTGATCAAAGTATGATTGAAATGTATCCTTTATCTGATCAAATGTATCCTTTATTTATCAAAGTATTGTTGAAATGTATCCTATATTTGATCAAAGTATGACTGAAATGTATCTTTTATCTGATCAAAGTATGATTGAAATATTTCATTTATCTGATCTATCTACGTGTACCACCAGTCGTTCTTGGGGGTGGGGGGTGGGGTGCCTTTGCTTCTGGCTATGCTCATACTTCATCTGACGAAATAATTACAAAGATTTATATATTTTCAGTCCTTTTATTAACTAATTGAATAAAGTCATGATTTAACAGACACAGTATTAATGATACTTTTGTGATAATGATCTGCCACCAACCGAATCACAACTGAAAGAGACTTAACAGTGTCCAACCTTAAGATTTAAAGAGCTGCTTTACTCATACTGCTAGTCTTGATTACTCGTTTCACCAGCAGCAAGAAATGTTATATCTTATGTCCTAAATGTTTTATCTCAGGTGCGGGTGTCGTCTGTAGAAGATGGCCACACAGTCACCATCACACTGCAATCCCCACTTTTCCAGGGGTCGCTCCTTTACCCGTAGCCAACCCAAGCCTTTATACTTGCTTCAAGCCAACTCGCCTTTCAGCCATCAGACCAAACGCGATCTGATTTCGTCAGGCCAGACCATCATCACACTGCCATCCCCACTCTTCCAGGGATCGCTCCTTTACCCGTAGCCAACCCGAGCATTTATACTTGCTTCAAGCCAACTCGCCTTTGAGTGAGTGAGTGAGTGAGTTGGGTTTAACACCGCTTTTAACATTATTCCAGTCATATCGCGGCGTGTCAGCTTAATGTGGGAGGAAAGCCCGAAGTGATGCAGGTTTTAGATGTTTACCTCTTCGGTGAAACCCACAAGCAGGGGTATGGTGCTGACAAACCTAGAAACATAATTGGGGCGAACCGGGATTCGAACCCACAATCATAGGTTTCTGGCATGCCCCAGGGACGCAACTCTGCACAGCGAATCGCGGCGCCTTAGACGACTGGGCCACCCGTGCCCCCACTCGCCTTTGAGCCATCAGACCAAACACGATCTGATTTCGTCAGGCCAGACCATCATCACACTGCCATCACCACTCTTCAAGGGGTTGCCCTTTTACCCCTGTTGCCTATTAATGAGTTCTTATGCTTATTAGATAGCACATCCGACAGGGTGTGCGATAGGCCCACATTATATACTACTAACATGGGATTAATGGACACAATGTTACATATATTATATAACGATACATGTGAAATGATAGGGATTACACGCAGTGAGAAATTACATGGATTGTGAAATATGGGTGTTGTACAAACAAACCAAATACGTTCCAACATCTTAAACATGCTAGGGGCGGTCGGGTAGCCTAGTGGTTAAAGCATTCGCTCGTCACGCCGAAGACCCGGGTTCGATTCACGACATGGGTACAATGTGTGAAGCCCATTTCTGGTGTGCCCCGCCGTGATATTGCTGGAATATTGCTAAAAGCAGCGTAAAACCGAACTCACTCACTTAAACATGCTAAGGGTCAAACTAATAAGGTGACTGGACATAGTTCAGGCCAGTATGTCTTGTTATGCTGGATCAAGTAAAGCAAACCAATATATATTAACCTTTAAGTCCTTAACTAGACTTATGATTGGTTGGTTGAGTACAAACTTATGAACTGACATTACACATGTACATTCAGGTTGTACAGTAACTGGTCACCTCTTCATGCCGAGCTTCACTTGTAAACACCTTTATCACAAATGCCTCAGTCAAACTAAATTACACAATTCCGTCTAGATAAGTGTCACATAAGTTCACTATAACAACCTTCATTATGTTTTACATGCTCATATAATCCATGTTTCATCGAAAATATGTGTCGGGATGAATATTTTCTTCGAAAGCCTCATGACATGAATACAGTATATAAACTGTTACTTGAAACTATACTAAATTCTATATTATCGGTAAATCACCGATCTTCACGGGTCACACGGCGAAAGAAGCCAGAAAAGAGACGGTGGTCGTTTTGTTTGACTGCTGTATACTGCTGAATGGCACACACAGAGCAGCTGGTGCACACGGGGTTATGACCCCCTTTAGGGATTTCTCATGTTTGTGTACAGTCCTAATTCCTTGGATACCAACGCCCGCCTCGGACAACCAAAATTGTGGCAGCTGTAACACTGACACAGTTAGTTGTTCGAGCATGTTTTCAGAAAACCACACGGAATGACGACTGCGGTTTATTCTCCCTGCAGTGTTTTATTGTACAATAAACAATGACCACGAGTCGGGGTTTTTTTCTTATATGAGATATCAACATTATGTAAGGCCTCTTTAAGGATGATGATATAATGTACAAGCTTTAAATATGTTTACCCATATTTTATAATGACTCCCTCAATAAAATCTGACCTCGGCAATGTCGGACAAGTCTATTTTATGCAGTTGTAGGTATTTCCTGCGTCAATGAACAGTTGAATGTATTTTGTGCCAATACAGAATTGTTCTTCTGTGCGTCCACATGTTATTGGGTACTCATTCTTGTCACTACGACTTCTCGGATTCTGACACAGAGTGCTCTCATAGGTTATTGGGGGGGCAGTCTTGTCACTTCGACTTCGTGATTCTGACACAGAGTGCTCTCATAGGTTATTGGGGGGGGGGGGGGGCAGTCTTGTCACTTCGACTTCTTGGATTCTGACACAGAGTGGGTTTTTCTGTGGGCCCTCAGCTGATGGGGGAGAGTGAATCTTTTGTCACACAGCTCACAGGCATGTGCTCTCACCGCCAGGTGGCTTTTCTCATGGGTCTTCAGCTGAGATTTCGTACAAAACTGTTTCCCACAAGTATTACACAAAAACTTCTTCTCCTCGTGACATTTCATGTGAGTAGAAATGGTAGCTCTCCTGACCATTTTCTGACATACTTTACATTCAGTACGAACTGCCTCTGCTTCCATATGAACAGCAGAATGAGCTTGCAACACAAAATTTGTTTTAAATGCTTTACCACACACGGTACATAAAAAAGGTCTCTCATTTGAATGTACTACGTCTTCATGGACGCTGATGTACCACCGTTCCTTAAACCGAGCATCACAAAGTGAACACTTGAATGGCTTCGCATCAATTCTGTAGTCCTCTCCAACATGATATCTCCTCGCATGCCTCTCGTCACTCCCAAAAAATGGATAGTAGTACCTATTGCAGTCATTACATTTCGTTCTCCGTATTCCCTCGTGTACAGCCAACATATGCTTCTTTAACTCGCTTGGCTTTTTGAACGTACTCGGGCAGAGCTCGCATTGATGTGGCCTGTCCGTGGAGTGGGTGAACATATGGGCCTTCAAACTCTGACTCACATAATATTTCTTCCCGCAAATTTCACATGGAAAGTTACACACCCCCGTGTGTATATTCATATGTTCTTTCACAGCACGGGGGGATTTGAACCCTTTCTTACATACCATACATTTGTAACGACGTTCGCGTTGTCTCTTAGCTCGGTCACTACACACTCCTGTGTGTATGGTCATGTGTTGTTTTAGGTCTTGGCGGCGTTTGAACACTTTTTCACATACTATACATCTATTACACTGTTTGCTTTTCGTCTGATCTTGATAGCTACGCCCTTCTGTGTGTATCTTCGTGTGTCTTTTAAGGGAAGAGAGGCGTGTGAAGGTTGTCTCACATACCATACATTTGTGACGATGTTCGTGTTCCCCCTCAGCTGGTGGGTGTGTTGTACTGACCGTGGTGGGGAGCTGATGAGCCTGCATCTCTGAAGACGTACATGGAGCTGTCTGGTGTTCGTCAGACCCAGCAGCAGATGATAATGGTCCATTCTCCTTGCAATTCATACCCTGAATCTCATGCTCTGTCGTCGATGTCAGCACGTGTTCCGGTGGTGAGGGTAGTGTCGGACATCTTGGTTTCAGCAGCTGCGCCATCTGTCGACATCCCCGTGTGTTCTGAAACTCAATGTGGAACAACACTCAGTAAAGTGTATGTAACAACGACACACCTTATGGTAGTACAGTCTAGAACAAATGATGATATCAAGCGTTCTCTCCACTTACGAAATAACAATTCTGCAGACTGTCTGAAACACTCAGGAGTGTAATTTTCAAAATATTCTTGAGGCAGGTCTCAGGCGTCCACCATTTCGGTGAAACCCACGAGCACGGGTATGGTGCTGACAAACCTAGAAACATAATTGGGGCGAACTGGGATTCGAACCCACAATCATAGGTTTCTGGCATGCCCAAGGGACGCAACTCTGCACAGCGAATCGCGGCGCCTTAGACGACTGGGCCACCCGTGCCCCCTAACTCAATGTGGAACAACACTCAGTAAAGTGTATGTAACAACGACACACCTTATGGTAGTACAGTCTAGAACAAATAATGATATCAAGCGTTCTCTCCACTTACGAAATAACAATTCTGCAGACTGTCTGAAACACTGGAGGAGTGTAATTTTCAAAATATTCTTGAGGCATCTGAATCTACTTTTCAATCAGAGTAAAACGTCATGCCAATCGTCTTGAACACTCATGGGATAATGTTGACACAGACATAGACATAGTTTATTCCATAACTAACCACTCACAGTGGTACATGGTGTGTGAGTGTGTTGGGTTTAACGCCGCTTTTAACATTATTCCAGTTATATCACGGCGTGTCAGCTTAATGTGGGAGGAAAGCCCGAAGTGATGCAGGTTTCAGATGTTTACCACTTCGGTGAAACCCACGAGCACGCGTATGGTGCTGACAAACCTAGATACATAATCGGGGCAAACCGGGATTCGAACCCACAATCATAGGTTTCTGGTGTGCCCAAGGGACGCAACTCTGCACAGTGGTACATGGACATAAATGCAAGGTAGTCATTTGATAACAGAGCATACTCGCATGATTATAAGTATGAGAATATAACCTAAATGTTTTTAGTATACAGGAGACAAATCTGCTGAGGTTTCTTAACACTGAGACTTTAGGAGTAGTAAATAGTTGTTGAAGTTTATGATAATTCGGCTTGACATAATAGTACTTTTTAAGATAGCGCTGACGATCAGTTTCTAAATGTGAACACTCAAACAAGTAGTGCCAATACTTTGATTTAACCATACAAAGCTTAAACAACAACAATCCAATATATCCTTGATGCACTTGATCCATTTAGAATGGTAATTGTTCGTGATATACATCTGGTAAAGTATGTTATAGATAATTACGGTAAGCTTGTTATTATTCGTACAGGATACAGTTTTGTACCAGAATCCAACCATCCGCTTCTTGATACTAATTGTTAAAGGGGTTCTACCAGTCTCAACATACAACATATATGATGAAGTACATTTTCTTAAATGGAGTATATACTTTAGGAACATTGAATGAACTCCTTCTACGTAAGTGAGGTCACTGAAACCCAACACCTCGCAACCATACATTGCTCTTGGCGCTACCATGTGGTCAAAAGATATTAGTAAACATTCTGTTCGGAGACATACATTTCTGGCTTTGGACAAAATAGCAAACAAGGCTTTTTGAAGATTGTGCTCTTAACCTTTTGATGGGTTGTGTAAAAGATGTTTTTATCATCCAAAACTGGCTCTCACAGGAGATATCGCTTGGGTGAGATCAAGCAATATCTACACTGTAGATATCGCTGCAATGAAATTGCATCACAATGCTTTGCAGGCCATTGTGATGTCATTGGTTACCAATAAAAATAAAACATGTATATAATAAATAGAAAATTCAATGTGTTTTCTCAAATACCACTTTTATCTCATCTCGTGAAGTGGGGAGAGTAATATTTTCACTCGTGACTGCGTCACGATATATTTTAATGATATATTTGATATCAAAAGACAGGGTGAGATTCTCTATATATTGAAAGCAATTCCTTAATATGTATAACAGTCTGTTATTTTGATTATTTTATTTCCAAATTTCAAGTCAAGTTTACTTTTTTTGCAGGTGCCAGAACCAAAGATTACTATCTTTGTTTTCTTTAGATTAACCTTCAGTTTCCATTCTTCACAGTATAATACGAAGACATTTAGACTATTTTGTAAGTCAATAGGGTTTTCCGAAAATATTACAGTATCGTCTACGTACAGTAATAACATTAGTTGCAAAACCCCAAAAGAGGTTTCAAGGGACACACCTTTACAGCTGTGGGCTCTCAAAAAGGTTTAATTTAAATGTATTGCAAACAGTAATGGTGACAGATTTTCACCCTGCCATACTCCCTTGCTACAAGTAAAATATCCTGATATACTAATATCTTCATCATGAACAACACAAGATTTTATATTTGAATACATATTGTGAACAAGATTAAATATTCTTCCAGAGATACCATATGATAAGAGCTTTTGCCATAATCCGATCCGCCAAATGTTGTCAAAGGCCTTTTGAAAATCCACAAATGCACAGTACAATTTCTTTTTACTCGCCCTTAAAATATCTATTGAACCATAGAGTATAAAAAAATTTGGTCAACAGTACTGTCACCTTTCCTGAAGCCAGCTTGTATTTCTGAAATAATTTAATTCTCATTTGTAAAAGATGTCAAGCGATTGTTCAAAACTGCCGTGAACAATTTACCAAGACAAGATAATATGGTAACTGGGAGATAATTTTCAGGTTGGAGGGGTCACCTTGCTTTTTGTAAATAGGTCTGATCATACCAACCAGCCATGATTTTGGAAATTTTCCGCTTTCAAGAATTAAATTCAACAGTTCATGATAAACATTAATCATTAGGTCTCTACTCGATACAAGTTACTCGATTTCTATCTTATCAATTCCAACACTTTTTCTCTTTTTAAGTGAATTGATTGCCAGTAATATTTCTGCAACAGTGAATTGCTTATTAAGTTCTTGATTATCAGATTGGAAATCTATAATTGGTGTACACTCATTTTCATGAACATCATTTGCATTACCCCGGGTAAGTTCTTTAAAAAAAGCATAAAGTTGGTCAATTGATATATTTTTTTTCAAACTCTTTATTTTTTTCAAAGAATCTCCAAAATTGTCTTGGATCTTTTCGCCATTTGTTTGAATTTGTTTTTAGTTTTTCTCACGTAATTGTTATAATCATTTTTCACAGTTTTTTCTATTGTATCACTTCTCAGTACAGTTTTATCACTTTCAAGTTTAGTAAGTCTATAAGTACATCTAGCATTCTTGAACTTTCTTTTCATATTTTGAAAGTCTTTACCATACCATTTTGGGGGGGTTTACTTTTAACAACAAAGGTTTTAATTGCTGCTTTACAGAATAACTGGGACAGTTCGGAGAGAACAAGAGGAAGACAAAAATAAGTCCCAAATTGATAGTTTTAGACACAACTGGTCTACTGGTCCGCTAGTATCACCGTCTTTCAATTCAGCAACAATCAGTCTCTCAACATTCCAGCAATATCACGACAGGGGACACCAGAAATGGGCGTCACACTTTGTGCCCATGTTGGAATCGCACCCAGGCCTTCGGCGTGAATGCTTTAGCCACTTGACTACCCAGCCGTCCCTCATCATGGGCGGATACAGAGGGGGGGGGGGGGGGGGGGGGGGTGTATCCGCCCATGGTCATGATACAACAACGGGAGATGTCAGTAGTAGTCGACTCTTGTCATTATGTACGAGCCCTGTCTTAATACTCAAGAAAACATAATTTCAGACTGAACGGTTATTAATCAGTCGTTGTTGCTGTTTGTTGTTTAACGCCGCACAAAGCAATATTCCAGCTATATGACAGCGGTCTGTAAATAATGGAGTCTGGACCAGACAATCCATTGATTGACATCATAAATATCGATCTACACAGTTGGGATAAGAGGGACATGCATCAACCAAGTCAGCGAGCCGGACAACCCGATAACGTTAGTCGCCTTTTACCACAAGCATGGTCACCTTTTACGGCAAGCATCAGTTGCTGAAGACCTATTCTACCCCGGATCTTCACAGCTATAATGTGTAAGTCATCTTAGTCAAGGCAAACTCCTTTATTTAAAATATATTGATAAAATATATCACTCCAACGAGGCCGCCAATTTGAACATAGATTTGTATATGAAACACCTCAGAATAACCACCTCAACTCAAACTTTAAACAGAGGTATTATAATTTGTATACCAAAGTCAAATAAAGATAGAAGACTTTTGTCACATCAGCGTCCTGTTTCTTTACTTATTACCCCTATAAAATCAGGAACACTTGTCTTGAACGTAGCGACAGGAAAACACTGGATCCATAGTGACCAAACATGCTTTATTTCTGGTATGTGTATCAATTTTAGATTGATACATGATACTACATTGGAATTGAACGTGAAAAACAGTTTGGTTTATTGCTTCTAATTCCCATTTAAGGTCTTGTGAGTGAGTGAGTGAGTTGGGTTTAACGCCGCTTTTAACATTATTCCAGTTATATCACGGCGTGTCAGCTTAATGTGGAAGGAAAGCCCGAAGTGATGCAGGTCTCAGATGTTTACCACTTCGGTGAAACCCACGAGCACGGGTATTGTGCTGACAAACATAGAAACATAATCGGGGAGAACCAGGATTCGAACCCACAATCATAGGTTTCTGGTGTGTCCAAGGGACGCAACTCTGCACAGCGAATTGCAGCACCTTAGACGATTGGGCCACCCGTGCCCCCCAATCAACTAGGAAGAAGGCAAGGATATGTACGTTCTCGCCATCTATTTCACCTTGAAGCTAAAACCTTAATTGAGAATTTACCAAAATCAAAGGAACACAGCATATACTACCAGTACAAAAATGCTGATCTTCACAGTTATAATTTCATGGAACTGAGAACACCCTTTATGAAGTATTGACACCCATAACAAGATGTATTAAATGTCAGGACTTAAAAATAAATGTAGATCAATATGAGGCATTGAAAAAATATTAATTGAACCTCCTTGGCGAAATCACAAAATTAGAAAATCCAACTTAATCATAATAAAATGACACCATTTTGTAAATAAAATGACAAAACCCTTCCCTTATTCATAAAAATGTTTGCCAAAAAACAGTCATACTGAACAACAAAAGTTCCTGTGACATTGAATAAGATTTAATGCAAAGTTATGTTTTTTACCAAAACTGAAACAATTTTGGTTTGCAACAGATAAAAGACTCCTGTAAGTGTTCAAATGGTTTAATTTGCCATACTGACTTCAGAAAATGCATGAATTCATAAAAAAACATGAACATGCCAAAATGTCAATTTACAAATCAATAGCGTGTGTGTCCACCTCTGGTTGCGATGCAAGCAACCCATCTTCGTCTCATGGAATGGACCAGGCGTCACACAAAGTCCTGTGGGATATCTGTCCATATCTGCTGGAGCATGTTTTGAAGTTCCTTGAGTGTCTGTGGAACACGTGGTTGACGTCGAAGGCACCGATCCATCTCATCCCACATGTGCTCGATGGGTGAGAGATCAGGGGATCGAGCCGGCCAGGGGATGACATTCACGTTGTTTTGTTGAAGAGAATCCTGAACAAGTCGAGTAATATGAGGCCGGGCGTTGTCATGTTGAAAGGTAATGCCTGGGCCATAATTACGCAAAAACGGTAGAACAACAAGGCCGATGATCTCATCGCGGTAGCGCTGTCCATTGAGATTTCCCTCTACCACTATCAAACGGGTCCTCTGTCTTGCTGTAATCCAACTCCATTCCATTACGCTGCCGCCCCGAACCAATCTTCTTCCATGACACAATGATTGACGTAACGTTCACCTCCACGTCGGTACACTCGAATCCGTCCATCGCTGTGGCTGAGGTGAAAACGAGACTCGTCAGTGAATAGAACTTGTTCCCATTGCATGGCCGCCATGCGAAGATGCTGTCTGCACCACTGTAGACGTGCTTGATGGTGTTTTCCTGTCAAAATGGGACGTCTGGCGGGTCTTCTGGCGACAATCCCTGCACATCTGAGGCGACGACGTACGGTTTGTGAAGATATTCGTCAAAGGCCAGGGATGCTTCTTGCAGTCACTGTTGCTGGCTGGAACCGATTTCGTAGGTGTGCTGTTCGAATCCAGTTGTCTTGTCGATTATTTGTTATGCGTGGCCTGCCACTCTGAGGATGGTCTCTGACTGCATCCGTCTGTTGCCAACGTTACCAAATGGTGTTTCTGTGGACGTTAAATTCACTTGCAACATCACGTTGACTCAATCCTGCTTCAAGCATACCAATGGCTCGCAGACACTCATTTTCGGACAGGTGTGGCATTTCTGAATGTTGAATAATTGCGTAATTTTGTTGTTTTTCTGAGTGGTTGTTGTCAGCATGATGCTAAACAATGCATATGGAATTCCGTTAACGCACATGTTTTTATACCCATTCTTGGATAGTCAAATGCATGGCGCTTGCATAAAAGTCAACTTTTGCATGGAATGCATGCTTTTCTGTAGCAGTTGCGTTTTTGCGACTTGATTCCATACATGTACTACAATATTGAAAACCAAACTTTACTTGTTTGAAAAATATCGCGCGAGTATGTTTGGGGATGGTAAATATCCTGCATTAGGAATAAACATTGTAATTAGCGAGCCTTGGCGGGCTAAATACATAGTGTTTATTCCTAATACAGGATATTTACCATCCCCAAACACACAAGCGTGATAACCTCTTTATTATATAATGTCATTCTTTAATTCTGTGCTTGAAAATCGCTTTCCCACTCTCACAAACATTACCTAAACATTGCGAGTTTTCCTGGAATGTGCGCATTAATATTTATTACGTCACAGGGTAAGTGATGTGACAGTCGGACAGTGACAGTAGCCGATATAGTTCCAACTGAAATCTGTTTCTTATACAGAGGCGAAGCAACATATACGCAAAACAACAATTGTTTTACTTGCATTTCGCGGCAATCCATCGGTCTGTCGGCTAGAGTAACTGTCCTTTGTCAAAGGGAAGCTACTCTAACCCTAGTCTATGAGACTTCACGGCCACGTTCAGGCGCTGTTGACATTCGACCTGTTCTGTCATAACGTTAAAAAGTGCAATCAGATGTACAAATAGCGACAAAACGAAACAAGGTAGCAATTCAAACATATTTCGGCCAAATCCAACTATTTTAATTTGTGGAAAAGGTTTCAAGTCGCAGAGGTCTACAAGCACAGATATGGCTATTGATCCTGCTTGGCTAGGCCTAGTGCCCTAGCAAAATTGTTTTGAAATTTATATCTCCAAAGTTGCCAAAACTTATAAAATGCCTTGGCTACGTCACAGCTAGACACTGATTTTAAGTATATTAGACTTTTCTTTTGATAATTATAGCAATTATCTCTGTAGTTTATCCATATTCCCGATGGTTAATTCTGACTCGATTGCCGAATGACAAGACCGACACCATGTTTGTTTATAAACACTGAAAGTAGTCCCAACTTGACCTTTGATATTTGCATCTCTATCCGCATATGACCCCAACGGATATTGTTTTTATCCGTTGGCTTAATATTGCCGAGAAACCTACCCATTATATGATAAACCAAAATATTGGTGTCACAGGAACTTTTGTTGTTGAGTATATATATATATATATATATATATATATATATATATATATATATATATAGTCAGAATAAAGTCGGAATTGTACAACTGACTCTGGCTAGAAGAAGAAACATCTTTATATCTTCATTTCATAAATAGAATTATATTGCCACAATTAGAAATATCAGAAATATTACAATGACATGCATCAACCAAGTCAGCGAGCATGACCATCCGACCCCTTTAGTCACCTCTTACGACAAACATGGGTTGCTAAAGACCCATTCTCTACTCGGATCTTCGTGGGAGTATCGTTTAGAGGGGCACTGGTCTAAAGCAATTCCCCGGGACTGGTTGTTGCTTTTGTTATTGTTTTTCCCGTGAGTACCCCGATGATATAGCAGAAACCTAGACTAGTTCACGACCTGTGCTGCTCAATTAGTAGGCGCATTTGTCACTCTTACTGATAGTATAAGGGCGTAGGGTCACATTGATCAACAAAATGTAATACAGTTTTGGAAATAATAAAGAATTGTAGGTATCTTTGTGGGTGGCATGGGTAATGGTGACGAAGTTTCGATAAGTAACTTGCTTGGTAATTGTACGATTTTCATTTACACTATTTTGACTTGCAACACAAAGTAAATATTTCTCGTGAGTATTGCTTATATTATCGTGTTAATATCTTTACAGTCAAAATGTGCAAAATTTTCACTTAGGAAATATATTAAATGCCGGAATATGCAAATATCATTATTACAACCTACCAAATATATGTGTATAATTTTAGGCAGCTTCCTTGTTCGAGGAATGTATCCGTGAATATCCACACAAAGGAACAATATCCCACATGTCTGCAGCTGTACATAGAAACTTATTCGATGTCACGTGTCTCTGTAACAATCAAATATTTTAAAATATATATATCGTTTTGGGATATTATAACTCGTGTTCATTTCTGAACTGATCACTTAGATCAGTTTCAGGTGTTTCACATAGGTGTCAAGTCTCAAACGTCGTTGAGAAAGCCCAAGTGACAACTATTTTCATAAAGTCCACGGTTCCTAGAAAAATCCATTGAGTTAGATAACAATGAGCAATCAATCAACGTATTATCGGTTAACCCTTTAAACAGAGTATGTTGTTTTTACATCGGCACTTCACGCCATGATATGAGTGTATTCCCTTTGTTTTCGTAAACCTAGACATGTAAACACTTACTTTTGACATATCCACTGTGCAAGATAACAGTGATTAATCAGTCAGTGTATTTTCTGTTAATCCTTTGATGACTAGGAACAATCAGTTGATTTTCAAAAAAGTAAATCAACTGATCATCCATCTCTTGCTGGGCTGCCACGTGCATATTACACAACACACATTTCACCTCACTTCAAACCTGGATTTAGATTGAATAATTACCCAAGACACAATAAATGCCAAATGGGAACCTTTGTCAGGTATTCTGAGTGGTGCTGCCACTAATTATACCTGTAATAAATTCATTAACTGAGCATCAAGTGAATGACGACAAATACACAAGTGTAGGGTTATACCAGAAAACATGGATGACAAGGGAGAAGTAATCGTATTATCGACACTATCCGAAATCCGAAAATGTTTTCACTGCATGGGTACTTTTTTTTATTATTAAACTATAACAATCAGGGGTATTTCAAAATGAGCTCGCTGTTCTTTTTGTCTGTTTGTTTAGGCTGAAGAAATTAATTAACATGCACCCTTTGTCAAAATCTTTATAGATCACGGTTAACCAATCAATGTTCAAAAATGAGTAAAACAAATATTGCCTCCAAGTTTATTTAGATGTCCTTGCAGATGGTTGCCCAGTCTCTTGTCACGCTCAGTTGCGTTGCGTATCATCCGGGTACTCACGGGGAAAAAACAATAACAAAGGCAACGACCAGTCCCGGGGAATATTGCTTTAGATCAGTGCCCCTTTAACGATAAGTAAAGTGTGGTTAAAGGGACACTGCTGGGATTTTATGTGTGCTTGACAGGAATGACAGGAATGTGCTTGACACAAAAGCTCAAACTTGCAAAACACATATGTGTTGCATTTGTACACTACGCATCTATCGCACAGAAATAAAACAGGTTTACGAAAAAATATTTACTCCTCACTGTATAAAATATACTACTAGTTCTAGATCTACTCACCGGGCCTCACTGCTGAACTTCTACACTGACACCGCTTGAAGTTGTTGGCCGCGCTCATCCACACAGGGGCAGATAATTTGGGTGTCGCCAGGAAGGACGTGGGATTCTGTTCAACAGAATTATCACAAACGTCGAGCCAAGAAAAAAGCAGAATATGTAGCCACATACGTGTTGCACTTATCGACATCAGTGCTTGCCTGGCCGTGAATATTCCCTCCCGAGGATGCCCCAGGACGGCCAGAAGATAAACTAGAAGCAAAACGTGTCGCCTCGCTATGTCACGTGATGTGCCTGGCTCGCATATGTTCAAAGGCGCTATCCGCGCGAAAGAAAGTACCCTATTTTCACACAAAGCTGTTGGTTTGTTGTTTAACGCCCCACTCAGCAATATTCCAGCTATATGACGGCGGCCTGTAAATAATCGAGTCTGGACCAGACAATCCAGTGATTAATACCATGAGCATCGATCCACGCAATTGGGATTGATGACATTTCAGATATTCAGAGTGACATTCCATTTCCCTCAGCTATTCAAAATAAAGAGAAAACTTGGAATTTTGGATTAACTATTTAGAGTGACATTCCACTTCCCTCAGCTATTCAAAATAAAGAGAAAACTTGGAATTTTGGATTAACTATTTAAAGTGACATTCCAGTTAATTCAGGCCAAGTGAATAGTTTCAATCCAACTAATTTTCAAAATGATAAAACATTTCTTTCAACACGGATGACGCACATCGTTAACAAGTCTCCCAAAGCGGCAGCCCATATTGACACATGGATTAGGAATGCCTGGGGTATTGTTCCCATCTAGGTCAATTAGTACAACGTGTATCCCGTCCATTCATACAGCCGGATGTCGGATGGGGTCACATTATTTTCAGAGTATATATACTAACGTAACAGGGACCGCCTCCGTGGTCTAGTGGTAGAGCGTCCGCCCGGAGAATGGAAGGTCCGGGGTTCGATCCTATACTAGGATCCATAGTAAAAGATGGTACTTGTTGTTACCCTGTCTGGCGCTCGGCATTAAGGGGCTAAAACAAGGACTGGTCGGCTCAGTATACTGTGTCTGAGTGGGGTATTCATGTTAAACTGCGGCATGGTATCTCAGTGACCTAGCACTATAAATCGGCATCAGTCCGGACTAGTACAAGCAGCCACACACACGTACATGCACGTCGCTATATAAGTGCAATAATCTTGGACGCGACGTTAAACCCCATTTCACCTCACCCTAACCAGGGTACTGTAACCTAAACATAGGTTACCGTAAAGGGGACGGTTATTTCTGTAAGACCATTTACGGTGGTGTATCACAGTATAGGGCGGAGGCGAGTTAATTGAAGACAGTAAACTTTAACATACTCTCAACGAGTCAGACAGGTTCTAAAGCCGTGTGGAATAAGGGATACATGCGGAAGATACGGAAGATATATGTTTCGCGAATTTCAACAGGATTTGGAAAACACTTTCAGTGTGATTATGACTTTATGTAATGTTTACCAACTACTTGAATAATTTATGTTTTCATTGAAAACTATTTTAATGGTATTAAAATGGTATGAAAAGATATTCTGAAACTTGTTCATGAATCCTTAAGGAATATTTGAGCTGAAAATTACCGGTATTTTAACATTTCATTTCAACCTAGCTTTTACAACATACACTCTTCAAAAAAAGAAACGCACATGTAATTTTTAGTAAATGTATTGTACCTAAGAAAGTCGATAAATTTAATTCAATATCATAGATATAAATATGAAATTTTGGAGCTCGATGGTCTCATGTTGTCGTTGTACAAAGGCATTGAAAACTGTTCATTGTATTGTCATATAAGGCCACGAGGTTGCGCTGAACTCGTGTATCTCCCCAGGCAGCAATCACGGCTCTGCATCTCCTCGGCACTGACTGGATAAGTGTACGAATTCTGCGCCATTCTGCTTGTAACGCGTTGGCCAGTTGTTGGAGTGTCTGCGGTGTGTTCTGACGTTGACGTACACGTCGATCGAGTTCATCCCAGAGGTGTTCGATTGGGTTGAGATCTTGAGATCTCGACGGCCAGTGCAAGACGTTGATGTTGGCATTATGTAGGAAGTCTACCGAGACAAGGGCTGTGTGCGGTGGAGCGTTGTCCTGTTGAAACAGCTCCCTCTGGCGGTCAATGATTGGAAGAAGGTGAGGTTGAAGAATTTGATTCATGAAGCGATTTGCTCTCAAATGTCCCTGAACCACAACCATTAAAGAAAACTGGTCCGTTAAAGTCAAGCACTGTTTATGTATTTTCTCAAGACATTCCCTGTCACAAGTGTTTGCCACGACTTGGCCCGGGCTGTGAAAATCAACTTAAAGCTCACAGATGTATCATCAAATGTATTTACATCTATAGACTAGTATTATATCTACCTATATACCACTTGCCCCATTCGGATCAAACACAGCCCAAACACTTCTGATAGAGACTGTGTTGAGAATGTAGAGGGAAAGGTGCTTCACTTTGAGCACCCTGTTTTCTTTAAATAGTGCGATCTGAGACATATCTAAAGTGGGATATAGGTAGGTATAATACTAATCTATAGATGCAAACACATTTCATGATACATGTGTGAGGTTTAAGTTGATTTTCACAGCCCGGGCAAAGTCGGGCCGAACACTATACATACACCCCTTATTCATGTTAAACATGTATATAACTTATTCATATCTGCATATTGTAATCTTCATTCAATTGGAGGTAATAAAGAATATCTGTCTACCTATCTATCTTTGTTGTTGAGCAGTGAAGCTCGCCATGGGTTGCGACTAATTATGGGTTATTGCGCGTGTGAATATGTCTACCGCTTTGATGCTCGTCAGAGGTGGCGGGTAAGGGGTAGCGGCTACTATTTGACTGATTGACCACTCGCCCTCTTGACCCCTTGTGCTTACTAAAGTAATTAACATACCTATTCGCCACCCATGCTTCGTTTTTAGACCAGTTGCGACGACACAACACAATACATGACCTCAATCATTCTACAGACAACAGCAGGTGATTAAAAGGCTGCACTGTACCAAGATACTGTCTTTATTCTCGGGTTCTTCGAAATTATCCTGTAAAACATTCAGTGAATCTCAATGATGACAGAAAACTGCCCGTTCTTCCGTTAATGAGAACAGAGGTGATATCAGGCCTCGACTTGCGTCTTAACTGAACCTAAAAAGGATGGGTTTGGCCCAAATATGGGGCATGGATAAATATATTAATAAGCAAAACTACTTCTTGTGGCTAACAGGGGCGGTGGGTAGGTCCACGGTTAGGGTGTTTCACGCCAGGAATAAATGTGTGAAGCCAATTTCTGGTGCTCCCCGTCGTGATATTGCTGCATGGAATGTTGCTAAAAGCGGCTACAATGAAAACACGTATCACATCAAAGGACCAACATAAGAATATAACCTAAGGATACACGAACAATAGACTTTATTAAAGAAACAGTTGAACATTTATGTGACATACTCTCCCAAAAAACACACACAATAATAACATTAATGTAAGTTTCCTCATAGTGTGTCAAGGGTAGCCTTGTGGTTTAAAGCGTGCGCTCGTCACGCCGAAGACCCGGGTTTGATTCCCCACATGGGTACAACGTGTGAAGCCCCTTTTCTGTTGTCCGTTATATTGCTGAAATATTGCTAAAAGCTACGTAAACCCATACTCACTAACTCAAAATGTCAAAATGATCTTGATAGTGAAATTCTCTGAAGGGATGAATTTACCGAATGCTGAAAAAGGACAAAATAATATAATATCTTGTCTTTCAGTATAGTTTTATGAAGAGGGGTATTTATGCTAATAGGTAACCATTGAAGATGAATTTAGTTGATGATATATGGTGGTTCCGTAGATCTGAAAATACATCGCTATCGTGAATGCCAACATATAAACACTTTTGGCTGAAAGCTCTTTAACTCTTCATTTCATAATTAAAATTACCCGTGAAGATCAGGGGTAGAATAGATCTTCAGCAACCGATGCTTGCCGTAAAAGGCGACTATGCTTGTCGTAAGAGGCGACTAACGGGATAGGGTAGTCAGGCTCGCTGACTTGGTTGATACTTGTCATCGATCCCAATTGCTCATGCTCATTAAGCGATGCACATGATGTCAATCACTGGATTGTCTGGTCCAGACTCAATTATTTACAGACCGCCGTCATACAGCTCGAATATTGCTGAGTCGGGCGTTAAACAACAAACAAACAAACAAGCAAACATAAATCGAATTATATAGACAAAATTAGAAATATTATTTTGCCATTAATTCTCGGTCCTTGTTTACCATTGTCTACCCATCACTAAGAACACATATACATGTGTTCACTATCAAGATATAGAGAATCTCAACCGAGTGTCTTTTGATATCAAATATATCAACACGAGTTGATAAAAGTGGAAAATTTCCGAGGCTTGCCGAGGATTTTTGCTACTTTTATCAACGAGTGCTTCAACTTTTTCAATTTGTAGACAGTAATTAGCAGTGTCTTCATTGTAAAAAGTACTGCAAACAGCTTCAGTAGCAGAGCCATAAGTGATGTCATTTGATTGTGACGTCATGGTAACAGTGACATCACAATGGTTTGCAAAGCATTGTGATGTAATTTCATTGCAGCGATATCTACAGTGTAGATATCGCTTGATCTCATCCAAGCGATATCTCCTGTGGGAGCCAGTTTTGGATGATAAAAATCAATTGTCCCCGGATATTTCGTTTTCACTTTTTGCACAAAATACATGTACATAGTAGTTTTCAAAGAAGAAAATTACATAGCCGCGAAGTATAATTCACTCTTTAGATTTTATAAGAAATGGAAACCTTTAGTTAACAGGCTTGATACACGAGGTCACACGCATATACCGTGAAAAGACCGCCTCTGTGGTCTTGTGGTAGAACGTCCGCCCGGAGAGCGGAAGGTCCAGGGTTCGATCCCGGGCCGCGTCATACAAAAAGACGTTAAAAGATTGTACTTGTTGTTACCCTGTCTGGCGCTCGGCATTAAGGGGCTAAAACAAGGACTGGTCGGCTCGGAGTCAGTATACTGTGTCTGAGTGGGGTATTCATGTTAAACTGCGGCATGGTATCTCAGTGACCTAGCACTATAAAGCGGCATCAGTCCGGACTAGTACAAGCAGCCACACACACACATACACGTGCATGCACGTCGCTATATAAGTGCAATAATCTTGGACGCGACGTTAAACCCAATTTCACCTCACCTCACCTATACCGTGAAACATTTTACAGGAAGGCACA